AGACAGGAGTCTTTAAAGGACAACTCCGGCGCAAAATAAACCTTTGGTCTAATTGCACATTGTTACCTATTCAACCGTTATCTGAGATTTTTTTTCATGATTGCCGAATCTAAATAGTTTTATCTATTAAAACAGTTTAGCCTATAATGCTAGTATAACGCTAGTCTATAGGGCATAGAGTAATGACAAATAAAAATCGCTTTTTATTACCACTAACAAGGCTCAAAATAGCCCCACAGTAACACGGTAGCACAATAAGGATCCCTACATGCAAAACGAAGCATTGAGAACTTTGTCAGTGTCCATACAGTTTAATAAGAAGATATTTTATACACACAATCAACTTCACGAATACAGGAAGAAGCCATCTTTAAAATATAGTCTCTACCAGTCGATCTACGAACGCTGATCCAAGTGCGCTGAACTGTGCAGAATCTTATATGGTCCATTGTTTCCGGAAGAAACACAAACACGAACCATTTTCTTCTCTTTAATATGTACATGTTGCCTACTGTTCGCGCTCACATTATCACTTTATTCACATCTCACCAGCGCACTTGGATCGGCGTTTGTAGATCGACTGGTAGAGACTATTTTTCAAAGATGGCTTCTTCCTGTATTCGCAAAGTTGACTGTGTGTATAAAATATCTTCTTATTAAACTGTATGGACACTGACAAAGTTCTCAATGCTTCGTTTTGCATGTAGGGATCCTTATTGTGCTACCGTGTTACTGTGGGGCTATTTTGAGCCTTGTTAGTGGTAATAAAAAGCGATTTTTATTTGTCATTACTCTATGCCCTATATACTAGCATTATACTAGCATTATAGGCTAAACTGTTTTTATAGATAAAACTATTTACATTCGGCAATCATGAAAAAAAATGTCAGATAACGGTTGAATAGGTAACAATGTGTAATTAGACCAAAGGTTCATTTTGCGCCGGAGTTGTCCTTTAAATGTGCGCAGAGCAACAAGCTTTAGTCTTGTACTATGTGATTGTCATAAGTGACTTTGTCTATGGGTTAAGTTGCAGGTGTGCCTGAAAATGGTTACATTGAGAGCTGAACTGTTTCTAGTTTAACTTTCCTCCTGGCTGTGTGCTCGTATCTAAATTGCCTGTCATAAATAGCTATTGAATGTAATTTTGTGAAAGATTTTTTTTTTATGTGTTCAATGATATCTGTATCATTGTGTATCAATGATAGTCTGAGATATCGCTGATGCCTTTGATGAAATCAGTAACAATAATTGGCTCGTTTTCCCAATTTTTTTTCGATTTATTTAATTTTGCTCAATAAATGTCTGCATTTTTGTTGTATAAAGGTGGCATCACATTGAATCCCTGTTAAATGGAGGAGTGACCGTCACTGTGAACTTCTGGTACAAGGTATGCTTTATGCTTTAGTCTTGTTTACATACATGATATATATTTGCACAAATCAACCAGTATTAAACAAAATATTTCAAGGGGACACCCACTCCGAAGAGGATAGAGTACCCTTTGAAAGCTCATCAGAAGGTGGCCATAATGAGGAACATAGAGAAGATGTTGGGAGAGGCCTTGGGGGACCCACACGAGGTACAGAAAAGTAGAACAGTCAATCATAGCCTTTTCTGTTTTTAGGCCCTCAGACATGAATTATGCATTAAGGAATTCCCTGTGTATAATGACCTTGACAATAACCCAATTACAAGTATATTTGTGGCTAACCTGCTTTAGACCTAAATCAAGTTGTGCATGCCTACATTTGACTGACTAGAGCAGAAAATGAATAACCTTTTTCTTCTTTAATAGTTTAGCATATATTTGTTCACAGAATACATTTATATAGGCCATTCTCTGTTTTCAACAGGTTGGTCCATTGCTGAACATGATGATCAAGGGCAGATATGATCATGGACTGAGTTAATGGCCTGGGCTGAAGCCTCTTAGTGTGCTGCTAAGATGGTCTGTTAATATGTATGTGTGGATTTGAGTATATGCTTGTGTGTACATTCAGACTGTTGAAATGCCAGTGCATGGCAGTATTTTGGCAGTATAAAGACTTCTGCCTTTTGTCTGCTTCCGTTTACTGGACCCAATATTGCTAGTTCTGTGTTGGTGTAAGAAGAAAACCACTGGTGAGAAATTGATTGATTTTCTCCTTACAAAGAGTCCTTAAATCCATATGTGTGCAGCATTGCAACTAATGCATTAGCAGAGCCTGTAAAGCACTTTTACACCACCCAGAGCGCTTGTTGTCAGGTTTTGTCCCATGTTGGGACAAAGAAGGTGGCATATTTCATGACTTAACTCCTGTGGCTCTGAGTCCACATAGTAAAACTGTCAGAGTGCCTCGAGCACATCCGCAGAGGAGGATGATTTGCAACTTGAAACCTACCATCGGTTCATTGACGGGTTTAAACTGTTAATGTTATCAATGATGGTGTTTTGTGTGTTTGCTTTTGAATTTGATCTCATGACTTCAATGTTTCAGCCACAATATGTTTTTAAAACAAGGGACTTCTCATCCTTTTGTAGCCGACTCACTGAATTAAATTTTTGCATTTGTAAATGCATTTTCTTTTGTTTTCGTTTGTGTACATTAAGGCAAATGTTTTAGTTTCTTGGTGTTATATTTTTTTTAATGTAACATGGTACAATTTCAGTAAGGATTGTGATTCAGAACAAACTACACTTGCCAGGTGTTAACTGTCTCCATGAATTGTAATGAAATAAAAGTTTTTGAATGTTTTGATCTTTTTTTTTTTTTTTTTTTTAATTGCAGCTACTATTGTCATTATTACAGGTTTTGTTAATGTGAGTGTGCGAAAAGCTGAAATTGATTTACATTATACTAACGTTCAAAAGTTTTGGGTCACTAAGATTTTGTATATGTTTTTGAAATAAGTTTCTTATGCTCTCCAAGGCTGTTTTTATATAATCAAAATACAATAATTTTGTCAAATATTATAAATGAAATGTAATTTATTCCTGTGATGGCAATGCTGAATTTTCAGTCACATTAGTGCAGTCTTCAGTGTCACATGATCCTTCTAATATGTTGATTTGATGCTCAAACATTTCTTCTTATTGGGGCTCAAAGCAGCTGTTTATTGTTTTTGTGGAAAGTGGAAACCATTATAAATTTCTTCTTTGATTAGTGGAAAATTGAAAAGAATAGCATTTATTTGAAACTGAATTATTTTGTAACATTATACACATCTTTACTGTCACTTTTTGTTTACACCTTTATTTTAGTGTTTTTCTTTTTTTTTTCAGAACAATCACAACAATTAGAAAAAGAAAAAAATGTTTGTCATCAGAGTGAGCCCATTCCTTTTTGTGTCCAATTTCGTGAAAATATCTAATTTCGTTTAGGTGAATTAGTGGAAAAAAGAATTTAGTTTCTAGTCCTCATGGTTTCTATGTTCTTAGTATAAATATGAGTGAAATTTTTGACAGTTGGTGGCGCTAGTGGGATTGAGTTAGAGACAACTGCAATGGTTACAGTTCAGACTGTCCTCTATCTGTGTGCTAAATTTAAAACTTTCCTGCAAGCGATTCTATGGGTTTGCCATAGGCTCCAAGAACGGAAGAAGCAGCAGAAATATAGCTGCAAGCAGCAATTACAGGGTCAAGCGCAAAAGCAGATGACAAGACATGTCATAATAAGAACGCCAATGATTACAATAGGTGCCTCCTCACCTTCGGTGCTTGACCCCTAATAAATCAACTCTGGGAAACATTTCTCTTGTTACAAGCATTTAAGTTCTTACAATGATCGTGAAGGAATAAAACATACTGGATAAATATTTAAAAAACAGTTTGAAGTGTCTTTTGCCTCTATAAAGAATTATTGCAGGTGTTCAAACAGCTGTATCTTTGTGCATTAGAGGACAAGTCATGTAAAAATGTAAGAGAACAAAACCTGTTACTTCAAAGTATCAGCATAATTCTTTGATCACTGTAGTTCTCAGCACTGATTTCTGAGTGGCATAGGCCTGGATTCACCTAGGGCTTAGATTAAAACAGGATTAAGTCTTAGTTTAATTAGGACATTTAAGTAGCTTTTATAAATGTGCCTTAGAAAAAATATTACTGGTGTGCATCTTGAGACAGAATAATATCACTAACATAATTTAAGATATGCCATTCATTTAAATAAGTGTTGTTAAGTTGTTAGCTTTGTTCTTCATGTAGTCTTTCAATTAAACATAAAATGTTTTCTTTTCTTACCCGTCTTTAGATGTTTATATTCGGCACAATTTCATTATGCTCTTCAAAGTACCTAAAGCTAGAACAATACATTTTTAAACCAGTTTTAAGAAGTATTTACATATTTAAGTACAGAACTGAGGAAAGACACCCATAAAACATTCATTCTTTACTAGTTACTCTCAAAAACATCATCAGTCCTTGAAAAATACTGTTTATATATATTTGAATCTAGTCACTGCACTCAAGTTTCAGGGCCATGGTAAGATTGGATTGGTAGTGTTGACACTGTAGTTCAATGGCAAAGACAACATGTAAACGGAGAACATCAAGCACAAACAAACAATCTTGAAAAACACTGGTGTGATAATATGGATATGACAATACAATTGTTTATAGTAAACAAAAAGCACATCCATTACTAAAACTATGCAAAGCCAGCGAACTACACAAGACAGAGAAACTAACTAGTAAATATGTATGTGAAGGTTCGGTCTATCCAAAGCTTGTCCAGTGTATGGGAAGATTCACCTTCAGTTGAATCCCGAATTAGTAGGCAGACCTCATTTGTAAACTGCAACAAAAATCATTAACACTTTACAATAAGGTTTCATTGAGTTAACATGAGTTTACTAATCTTAGTTAATTTCATCATTTACTAATACAATCCAAAAATCAAAAGTTATATTTGTTAACATTAGTTAATGCACTGTGAACTAACATGAACAATGAACGACAGTATTGTTTTTAACTAACATTAACTAAGATTAATAAACACTGTAACAAATGTATTACTCATTATTGGTTAATACATTAACTAATATTAACAAATGGGACCTTGTTGTAAAGTGTTACCCAAAAAAATCAAATGTCACACAGACCCTTCTATTATTAAGTCTAAGGAACATATATGGAGTCTTTTTATTTCTGCGTTTTAACTAAACAGTGCAAAATACAAAGACTGATGTTCCTGCCACTGAAAATGAGCTAAACTGGCTGATTTTATAACAAAACAACCACTTAGCTGAACATTTCAAAGACTTTCAATTAAATTATGTGTAAAATAGGGGTTGGCTTAAAAAAACAGTCAAACGTTAACACCTTCATGTTTTTAGGAATAGCATAATGTTTTAGTAAAAAGTAGTTAAAAAATAAATACAGTAACTTAAAAGGGCTCGAAAAAAGAGACCTGCTGGGAGTTTTCACAGAACAGCAAACAATTGAAACATCAAAACCCATAAAACTCCCAAGAAACCAAATCTCCAGCACCATATATCTAAGTGGACACACAAAACTAAATCAGCTGTTTCCAGTCACAGATAACCAGACAAAAATATCAAAATCAAGAGGGGTTGACTCTGAATGGTCCATCAACAAGATGCCTTTCATCAATGAAAGCGATATTTGCGTGCTGGTTTGAGACTAACATAAGTCTTCTTCATGTCGTCTGGTTCTTCTTTCTTGACTAGATGGTAGCGCTCTCCCTTTGTAGTGACCACCTGACTGCCATGATAGCGCACTAGTTTCTTGGGAGCCTGCAGATGACCAAGTGGAAAGTAGAAAATATGAACTCAATGTTTTGCATTGCCAGTCACTAAAAATAACAGCAAATACTCACATCTTTTGGAGTGACTGGTCTGTGTACTTTTTTGTCTTCTTCACTATCAACCAGCATGTACCTGGGATGGGGGGTCCAAACATTTAAATGAGAAGGTTTTTCTTCTACTTGCAGTGGCATCCGATATAACAGGTTTGTACAATAGTTTAAAATAATTCGAGATCAAGATAACTCACTTTTCTAAAATGCTTGCTTTCAGTTTCTGATCAACTTCAGCAGAAATGGTCTTCCCTTGGTTAGCCTAAAAATATATAGAGATTTTAAAGGCATCAGTGTTATTTTAGTATTATTGCTCTTTTATTTCAGACCTATGGGTCCATATCAAACAAAAAACATAAAGAAAGAGAAAAATACATACAAACATAGCTTTACAAACAACAGACATAAAAAACGTACAAGCTTTCATTCCACTGCCTCCAGAAACAGGAAAAATACCTTGTATCACTTAATGTGATATTATTTAACACCATTATGATACTATTTTTTGAGTCACTCAACCGAAACGTAAAATTGTACATATACTTTCGTAATACAGCATGCAGAGTGGGTACACTGTTAGAAACAAACATTTGACTTGCTCTTGTCCACCTTGGGACCCTAAGCAAAATTGTTAGCGCATTATTATATGCCACCTTTTAGCTGTAGTATATTTACACCACAAGTGGGCCAAGTATAAAGAGAAGTACAGTATGTCCTAAATAGAGCTATTTTAACATCTGTACACAGATAACATTTACAAGCAAACATATAAGCTTGCCCATACAAATTGCAGCACTGACGCTGCACGTCATCTTCATCAATTAAATCATTTCTAATAATGTGACCCAAGTATTTACCTTTAGTTACTACATTTAAAACCTGGTCATTTATATAGAAAGAAGTAAATTTTAACTTATGGTCCTCTTTGGTTTTAACAATCATGACCACACTCTTCTTAACATTAAATTTAATGTCAAGCTGCACACCATAACTTGAACATACTCGAAGCAGCTGTTGTAATCCTGCACTACAAGGAGACATAATGACTAAATCATCAGCATTCATCAGATGGTTAATAAGACTATCTCATATTATACTGTACATCCAGTCTTACAATCATTTAACTCTATAGAGGGACCATCCAAGTACAGGTTAAAAAGAAGAGGTGACAGTAAACCCCCTTGCCGAACCCCATTCGTCATATAAAAGGGTTAATTCTTCCCCCACCAAAAATTTTAAGGTTTGGTTTATTGTTTATATAATATTATAGTATTTTATATTGGGTTCATACACATTTTTTTTCACTTCAAATTTCCAAACCTGTAGATTTATTTTCAGCCTTATATTTGGTATATAGTACAGCCATCTGTAAATATTTCATTTTCTCTTCTTTTCATTGCTTTTTCAAGTGATAACATGATAGAAAGAACCTAAAACGGTTTATAACCTGCATATATTCACCCCTGACACATCGGTTTGATACTGTAAATATGGTTTGACGTTGCATGATCAACAAAAAAGCAAAGTACAGACTGATTTAGATCAGCGTTTGTTATTTTATACGCACATTTGTTTAATGAAGTTCAAGAGACTTGCTCATGGTAGAAAAAAACAAGTAGAAGTCTTGTGAAATTAAAATGTGCACCTTGAATGTCAATCACTGAACTTCTGCCATGAAAACACTCTGCTTGTATGATCATTTTTATTTTTTTAGAAATTCTTTTATATTTTAGAAAACTGAATCGGGGCATTATGTGATTTTGTAAATTTATTCATTTCTTATTTCAGTTTGAGTCATTTTGGTACTTTATTTTCATTTATTTTTTCCATCTAGTTACATTTTATTTCAGCCTTATTTCAATTAATGAAAAAGATTTTTAACAAAACTTCTTGAATCTAATTAAAGTGATAACTGGCAAATAGTCTATCATTTTATCTATGATCAGTATAAATGGAACTTTTCAAATGAACTCACGTGGAGAGACGTTGGGCATGCAAGCTGGACATCTCCCTCAATAATGAGACGAACAGCTTCCTCCATGTCTCCTTTAGCAATAGACAATGCACTTCGGGCCTCAGTCACACTGCATTTGGGAAACATCTCGAGAAGATGCTGCTCCTGGTTATCCCACGAAGATTCACTAACCTGAAAACACATTTCCAGACACAAAATCATTTGTAAACCAGCTTTCCAACATCTGGTACATTATGAGTGTGCCTGAAAGGCCCAATACCTGAGCTGTGGCTCCCTCTGCTTGTAATGTGAGGTTGTGTGTCTTCTCCCTTGAAACTCCGTGGGTTAAAACAGAACTTTCTGAGAGAGGAAATTTACCTTCCTCTAATTTTATCTCTCCAGATTCTTAAAGACACACACAAATCACAGTTTAGTGTGGGGGATATTTTCTTGCCTATATTCAGCTGCAGCACCACACGTTTCAGGACACACAGGCCAGGCCACAGGTATTAAAACATAACAAGGCAGAGAGCAAGGTGAGTTGTCTGTAATGTTTCTTTCATTATGTGGTTAACAATTTACATTTAGCTAACGCTTTTATCCAAAGCGACTTACAATTGCTATATATGTCAGAGGTCGCACGCCTCTGGAGCAACTAGGGGTTAAGTGTCTTGCTCAGGGACACATTGGTGTCTCACAGTGGATTTGAACCTGGGTCTCTCACACCAAAGGCATGTGTCTTATCCACTGCGCCATTCTTCTAAATACCGATTATGTGCATGTATTTCAATTTTTATTTTTCACGTGCTGTGGAAAGCTTAAAATTGTTTTCATCTTTTACGGTTTTCAGCGTATGTCCGACAGTTTGATTACTTTTGAGATTGGTGTAGTAAATGGGCTTTGCGATGAATATTTGACATTAAATATCCATACTGTAACAACATGAATAGGAAGATCAAAATGAATATGCGCATCAACTATATTAGTACATTCGTTTGTTTTTTATTTTATTTGATAGGGACAATGCTCATTAATCAACAACGAATTACATGCTCTAAACAAGTCAGAGTTAGCTACGAGTGCTAGTTTCCATCTGTTGTCCCTAGCCAGGTCTTAGCAGGCTCCCTAAAATACAAAAGTCAATAAAGGTACACTATACCTTTAATAAATACAGTAGCAATATGATAAATACAGCAACTATTATCAATAAACAATATTATCAGACTATGCATTTTTTAGTAATTCAGGTATATATATATATATATATATATATTAAATAAATATATATATAATAATATTTTTTTTAATCCATGCGAAAATAGCTACATGAAACAAAAAGAAAATAACGCAAAGAAGTTGGCGCGACTCTAAACCATATATGGTTCGCCTTCACTTCCGGCCTGAGTGTGGCTTGTGTGTCATGTGACGTTGCAACTGGATCCTGCACACCTGCTATTAGTCATTCAGGTATGTGGACTTTTTTTTATCTGCTATGACAAAATATAATATTATTCAAAAAGTTTACTTCTGTTATGAAAGGAATATTACCTGATTCCCGGGCTGAGGCCAATTTTGATGCCAGATTAAACATCATCTCACAAACTTTGACACTGCATGATAAAGTCGAAAAGGCATTGATTCAAATATGATTAAACTTTTAATATAAACTATTTGTAAATCTCAGTTAGGATTTAACTTGCAAGACATCTGCCCAAAATTACCTGTCAATATCTGAGAAACCAGGAATGTAGGCCTCCAACATTTCAACAAAGACATCGACATCAAAGTTTTCCTCCTCATTTTCTTGAGATCCCAAATCTTCTAGCACCCCAGTGATATAGGACAAAATCACGTCATCTAGCGTACTGATAAAATAAAAAATAAGTTATTTGCACGATTGAAGGGTGAAATCTAACGTGGCCTAATCTAACGTGTGAATTGACACGCCCCCACCTCAGATCCGCGTGAGGAATATATGACAAAATGAAGTCGTACAGCGCGTCGTGGATTATTTTTTGGAGATCCATCCTATCTGCAATTGGATAAAACAAAGAAGACAACAGAAGCAACAGCAACTTGTCAGAGAAGCACATCATAAGGAGTTATATAAGGCAAGTATGTCGTCAAACAATCAAACAAATTACGGTGGCAGCGTGTTGGAGATTGTGCTCCATTTGTGAATAAATTAACATTAGACTACAAAAAAAACTAATATCAAAGTGAAGGTTAAGAGTCTCTGCATAAAACGTCAGTTTCAAATACAGGCAGCAGTCGCAAAAAACTAACGTTATTTTTATTATGCAAAGCATAAATAGTCGATTGTTTACGGGATTCGACGTGGACAAAAATTCAGTGCAGTTTTCATGCACTTTTCTAAATTATTAAGTTAGCAGTCACATGTGTTGGAAAACATGCTTGCAAGCGATCTCAATAAACTGTTTTGGCAGCCGGCGTTAATTACACAATTGAAGAATCAATCTCATGGTTTATATTTTAGGAATAAGGCAAACCAATAATACACCCATTAACTATCAAATAGACACATTTGATACCGATATAATGATTTGTTTATCTGTGCTCAGTAACGGTAGCCGATGGCTAACTAAGTTAGCATTGTCACATAACATGAGTAAGGCCTTTAGATGTCAGTCTCACCTTTGGAACAAATCGCACAGCTGAAAGAGCAAAAAGAAAATATATTTTAGTCAAAATGTATTACTTCTGTAGACAAGTAAGCAATAAATCGTAAAATGTTTAGCTAATTCTTTAGCCCTGCGCGCGGTCGCTCAGGTTCAAAACCTAAGACGTCACGTCCGCTTTAATGTAAACACACCCTCGTGTCACTGTTTTGATTGCATTTACAGACTTCCGCAAACGCATTTTATCCTCTTTATACAATATTCTCCTCTTATTTAGCTGTGTATAGAGTAGTCCCATAATAGACTTTTACGCTTGGTTTTCAAATCTTGACTCTGTTGTTGTTGTTGTTGTTACTTTTATTAGGTAAATTTATTTTACAGTGCAATGACAATCTGTGGCATCCAGTACTAAAAACACACAACACAGGACACTACACAACACATAAGGAGAGATAAATAAATACACATAAACTTAGAGAAGTGCTCTCATGAAAGAAAGTGGTCTCAGAGCATTTCATATGATCTTTTTAACATAATAAAATCAAGACCCCTAGTACTCTACCTGTTCATGCATTACATGGATATGTTTTGCATTTTGTTTTTCCATTATTGAATGTGCTTGAATGTGTTTGCTTGCTATACGTTTTAATTGGGAAATAATTTGATAGAACATTGTTTAATGTCATCCTATCATTCACAAACAAAGGCCAAAGTCACCATAAGCAAAATTGTTTTAATTATATATATATATATAATAATAATATTTCCCCATTTAGGTTTTAACAATACAGTTTTTTTCTTCCTTTTTTACACATGTTTCAATAATAAATAAAAACTCGACTATAGCAATACAAATCAATGTAAGTAATATTTAGATACATTTTTATTAGTTGTATTATATTAGTGTTATTCATAATGTATCTTTGTTGAAAAAACACAAAAAACTACAACTAATATAATAAAAAAATAGATCATTGATAATGCATGGCTGTTATGTGAATTGAAATAAGTCAAATAATACATTGAATTAGTTAATTTTCCTGAGAAATGCAGTTGTTTTCTGTTTAATGCTGTTTTAATGATCTAGCAAAGAATGTAACTTAGGGAGAACCAATATTGATTAATTAGAAAAGTATGAATATCAAAAAATGTCAGTTCTTGTCTGTCTCTAATAGCAAGCATTGTCTGTTGTTTTTCTGTTCTTTTCTAATGCCCTTACATACGTCAGGTCAGCATGTGTTAGCGCACATATTAGGTCTAAAGAGAGCTCCAGCGGTTTCTGGTGGTTCAGTGTCATTACACTAGTGTATGCTGTCACGCCTCTTGATTACAAATTGGTTTCATAGATGTTTAGCGCTGCATAATTAATGCTTCATCACGCGTGTGTTTTATCCAGCTGCACTGTTTCATTATTAGTATGGGAAATACAGTACATGAGGCTGATAATGAGTCTAGGAGAGGACGTCTTATCTTGGCTGGACTCTATTTAACCCTCTTGGGTCAGTTGCATGTCGAATTGTCTTACAAACTGAATGCATAAATGAAACCCATTCCTTATACAATATACTGTAGGCATAGTACTTTATATTAAGAATAGCATTGTGTTCATTTAAGCTTAATACTTCACTTGTTAATGATGTTGACTACAAAAACACAGCCTACTTGTATAGATAGTATAGGTGCTAGTATAGAATCTTTCTAAAGCAGTACATTTGTGTTTTTTTACTGTGGGAAGCCACCTGGAATAAGTTGTCATCGGGGCATTTATTTCATGAAACCGTGAATGGAACATCTGAAAATATAAAACTATTGTATTGCTTACAGACATTGTAGTAAACAAATGTGATAACTTGAATTTTAAATTCCTGGTCTGACCTGTATGACAATTTGTTTTTAAGAACAGTTAACTTTTCAGTTAAATTTGAGTTTTATTGTGGTCTGTTGTTAGCCAACAGCTATAGATGGTGCTTGAATTTAAGTTTGGAGGATAAATTGTGATATATTTAGAGATCGTGTTTGGTGAGATTCACGGTGTGAACACTAGGTGGCTGCATTGAGTCATGTTACATTTTCACATCTGACGTGAACAAAAACATTGCAGCAGTTGTAAAAAAAAAAAAAAAGAAAACGTGTATATTTATGGGGTTTACAGGAAATCGTTAATTTCTAGTTTCTTTTTTAGTTGAAGATTATAGCAAACATTTAGGTTAAGTTAAAAAAATAATTTATAATAATAGGCTACTTAGCCTATCTATTTTTTTAATACCAAAATGGAGTTTGAGCTATGAATATAATTTATTTTTTATACTTAAATTTATTTGAGTTTGAGCTATGGATATACACAAAGTTATTTGATTTTCTAAAACGGCAAGACAAAACAGAATGTGTTAGTTACACTGGTGCTGGAGGCACTGTTGAAGTTAGCTCAGTCTTGCTCTGCATTCTCTTATTTGCCATTACTGACACAAGAGAACTATTTTCCAGTTGAAGGCACGGTGTGTCCCATCTGCCAGTGTGCCAGAACCCTTGAGCTCAAGGTGGGCCACTGAGGCCCTGTACTGAACCTGCTGGGACCACTGTGTCATGAAGCACATCCCGTAACAGAGCTTTAGCATACTGTATGAGAAACAATGCACTTACATATGTTCAGATGTTATTAACAGCCCTGATGTTTGTTTTACACACCCGGTTGTTGCTCTGTGCGCTCAAAAACAAAATGAGAAATCAAGAGATGTATCATGAAAATCTGTATACATTATTTTTTTTAGAAGGAATGTTAAATTAAACTAGGGTTTTGCAATATTCATTTGGTAGTTAGTAAAAGTTTACTATGAAATATAATTAATTATGTTTGTTATTGTCAATACATTTACTGTAGATAATTAGATGTCATTACTGATAGATGTCATTTTTGTAGATAAAAAGATTTTTTTTTAACTCTTTCCATGCATTCCAGCTAATCCTTTAAATTTGATGACACATATATTATGGTGTTGCTTATACTTTCAAATGTACTTATTTATTTACTATATTTATAATGGAATTATTTTATTTATCTGTTATAAATGAATAACTACATCTAAAACATTTAGCATTTAAAACATTACAAGAAATGAAAGGGTTTTTTAATCATAGTTACTGGTATCCTCAAGCATGTCATCCATCAGTGGAAGGCCAGGATCCACAATGTGCATATTGCGTCAAAAAAAGAGAAAGATTTCCATTTGATCAGGCACAATAGAGGAAGACTTGATCTCCGTTTTGCAATTTCCTCTCCTTCGTTAGAGGAGCCAGACACGGTGCGAATAAATTTACTGCCAAATTAATTACCTTTTCCCCAACTTTAGACAATAATACCAGAAGCCGTCTGTCGGAACACATCTCTAATTATTTTATTAATGTTTGATTCACAGTTCAGGTACAGCGATTTCACATTTTTTATTAACTTTATTATACTTTGAAGTGAATGTGTCTTATTATATATTAAATGATCTTGAATTGAATTACCCAAGTGCTAAAATCAAATCAACAGATTTTTGTTTTTCGTCTCACAGATATTGTTAAAAATTGAACAAATCTATTGTGTAATTGAAGTCACCAAGTTTTATTAATGAGATTTTTCAAGCTTTCGCAATTTGCCTCCTAAGCCTCAAATGATGAAATAAATGAATAGAATTGAATCACACAGGCACACTGCATGAAATATGCTTTAAAGTTCATCATCACTTATAAATGAGTGGGGAAGAATTTAGATTCAGTTTTTTTTTTTAAAAAAATATGTATTTAAGAACATGTATTTTTCATTTAAGTCTTTCTCTTAACTTCTGAGACAATATACCATTTAAACTACCCTACAATTTTATGTTTATGTAATCATAATAAATTATTATTAAGCATTTTTTTCAATTGTTTGTTGCCATGCAGGTGGTGATCTCTGACTCTTATCTGTTCTGAAAGACTAGTAGCAGGAAACTCAATGTCAAACAGTAGCATGTATTCTGCAGGCATGGCAAACATTATTTAGACCCGCTTCTGTGGCCAGGGTATCAGGCTTGGGGGTCTGGAGCTGTATCAAGCCATCAGAGCTGGCTTATCCGGACTCCTGCAAGGCAATGCTTGCCTTCCCGTCTGGCTCCTGCTTAGATCCTGTCTCAAGGAAATAGGCACCAGACTGGCCAATGCTCTCTAAGACCCACTGCGAACAAGAGGCATAATGCTGTTTTGTGCAGTGGACGCCGTCCTACTCTAATGTAGATGAGTTTTAATGCTTGAATAGACCACTGAACTTACGGTAAATATACCACAAACGAGCACGTCAGAGTTTGTCGATTCTAAAATTATATTTCGCATCCACGTAGCATGTGTAAAACAGCATATTTTCTGCTTTTGATGTTTGATGCTGTATTTCATAGAAAATGATAATATTAATGGCAGTTTTGTGGCTAACACGGTTAAACCACTTTGAGAGGTTTAGTTATGTGATATAAATCATTTGAAAGGTCAGCTTGTCGTGCTATAAACTCGTCTTTCTTTCTTCTGAAAATCTCCACACAAATACTATATGTGACCTGACTGGACCACAAAACCAGTCATATGGGTCAATGTTTTTGAAATTGAGATTTATACACCACAAATAAGCTGAATAAATAAGCTTTCCATTGATGTATGGTTTGGATAGGACAATCTGATAAATAGGAATCTGATAAATCGACACATTGAGAAAATCGCCTTTAAATTTTTATGTTCGCGACTATGCAGCATTCACACACAAAAATAAATGTTTTATATATTTACAGTAGCAAATTTACAAAATATCTTGATGGAACATGATTTTTGGCATAAAAGAAAATCTATAATTTTGACCCGTATTGTTGCTACTGCCACAAATATGACTCGCATATGCATGCTATATATACCGTCTATATTGTATGAAGTGCTTCATTTCAAATGAAGACCTTGTTTCGGGCTCATACTTCTTATATGACCCTGGCACTTAACTGGTTAAAGTGTGTCCGCAATCCATCTTCAGGACCCCCTGCATATTAACATTGATCTGTTGGAAATGAAGAACAGACGTGTGTTATCGTTTACAGTGGGAAAATTTTTCTTTCTGTGATAGATCTGGAGAGCAACATTTCTGACAAATGGCCTTTCTAATGTGTTTT